TTTATCTAAACATTTATTAAAAATATTTTTGAAAATGTTCCATTCCAAATGTAAGTAGATGTTAATACCTAATATATTTTCTTTTCAACATTATATATTTTTTAAATAAAAATAAATATCAGTGTGGCCACTAGTAATGACAAGAAATTAAGAATTCGTGAGTTACGGTCTCAAGAGTGGCTAAAAGTAAAATCTCATATTTTACTTATGGCCACCGCAGTTATTGTGTGGGTTGTGGGAGTTACTTAGTTTTTTAGCTAAGAAGATGAAATGTTACTGGCATCTGTCAGCAGTGGCAGTTTCTCAGATATAGAACCAGTAGTGATTATGGAGTTAGGCCAAACAATAAAACCGGGCGACTTTATATTGGTACAATTTAGTGCCTGTGGCAAAAGAAGATCGACCGTGTATAAATATGTTGTACGCCAAACTACGGAGAATGAAATAGGAATCTAGTGCTTAAAAAGCACAAAAAAACACGTTTGGATATATATTGAAAATGAGATTTCCACTGTTTCCATATCTGATGTTTTAGGACTGCTAACCGAGCATTCTCTAGTAGAACAAGATTGAAAATTAGTTATAACATTTTTAAGAAGCGTTAAGGTACCATTTGGGAAGGCGAGACCGATACCGACTTCAAGCGTCAGGCAGCAAGCAGCAAATCCTATCGTACTAAAAGTGCTGTCGTTGGTCGCGCCTTCCCAAATGTATTTCATTCAATTTCATGTGTTCAGACGTTTAGACACCGTTTTCGGTCTCCTTCGCTGTCACTTTGTGCTTGAAGTCGGTCTCGGTCTCGCCTTCCCAAATGTTCATGAAAAATAAATTTCATATTTTAATTTGTTATACCCTACCCTATTCTAAATCACTACTGGGTATATACATGTAAATAAACATGCACTTAAATTAATATTTAGAAATGCAACTTAAAAATTAGTGGCCATAAGTAGAGAACTAGTGGCGGCCTGATGGCCAAACATAAAGAATTTCTTTCACTTTTATAAAAAAAAATGTAAAAAAGAATTACATGCTTTCAACAAAGTAGATGCATATACTATTGAAAACTATATACTTCAACCTATCAAATAGTATTTCTATTTATTTTTTCTGTTACAATATTATTGAAAAACAGACCCCACAAAAGCATTTTTGCCTTAAGGTCATAAGTAGTGCCATGACCCTACATGAGAGAATTAGGACGAAGGTTCTGGACATCAAGATCAATGGAATCGAATAAGAGAGGTAAACCCAAAAGAAAATAGGATAGGTTGTTAGAAGCACTATTGAGATAGATACATGAGAGAATTGGGACGAGAAATGACAATGAATTCCTCGGAAAGTGTTACCCCGAAAGGAAAACGCAGAGACTGGTATAATTGCCACATACTTTTTCTAATATTAAGATTTGTTAATAGGTACTGGTTAACTCTATCGTGCTTTGAAACGTTATAAATAATTTCTTCAATATTCGGGATTTGATATGAATCCATTTATAAGTCTGTTAGTGATTAGTTGTCCTTTGGTTGTTACTGGTTCGGTTTGACCTTTTCATATAAAAATAATTATCTGTAAATTCATTTTTTATATTCGTGGGATATTAAGTGTATTAGCAAAGCATACAAATATTCACAAATGAGTCGTACTAAATTACAGTTTCACTTGTAAAATTTCGGTTACATAAAAGGCGCCAAATTTTATAATATAAAAAAATATTTTCTATACAGTGCATACTTTTTGAATATAACTGTACCTATATACTCGTATGTAAAATCAGTTATAGACGGCACACATAAATGAAGTTATTTTATTAAATTATTAAATATTTTATGTATTACGAGGACTGTTCTTTTCCGTCTATCTAGAAGGCGATGATATTTTTGTAACAAATTTCGTCTAACACTTCAATCTAGTTGTTTACAAGTTTAGTTAGTGACAGATGTCAAATATATCTGATTGTAAGTTACATAAATTTAAAGTAATCCTTTCGCCAATAAGTGATTGAAATAAACAAGGAGCATTATCGGGCTGTGATTTTTTACAATTTTAAGCGTAACATAAACCGTAAAAAATATTTTGAGGAAATCAATCGGGTGATTGGTGACAAGTCGTGTTCCTTTGCTACCGTATAACGTGATCGACTTTCCATAAATGACAGTTTTCGATTTCCTGTACCAAAAACGACAGTTATTGAAGAAAATATATCTAATTCGGAACATGATTAAAGAGGACCTGCACATTACTGTCAGAAACATTCAAGAAATTTTAAAGATTGGTGTGAAAGCAATTGAATATTTTACTTAAACATTTGAAAGTTCGTGAACTTTGTTCACGGTGGATTCCACATAATTTGACTTTACCTCAAAAAGAAGACACTGTGAGAGGGTACAGATCTACATTAGATCGCTGATGAATCATGGGTATACTGCTATGATCCCGAAAAAAAGCAACAACAATTGTCAGTTTGGGTCGTCTCCAACAAAATTTGTTCGCCACTTTTTTGGAATTAGTAGGCATGTTTCCACTGTAACACTGTTTTCAGAATGGTGTACTACTGTTTGTTTGCTTCAGGATCTACAAAATTTTCTCGAAAAATTTCCAAGAGCAACGATCATATTGCATCAAGATAACGCTCGGGCTCACTGCTGCTCGGCCAAATGCGTATTTGAATGCCCAAAACATAGAAATAATGCGTCATTCGCCTGTTCAGACCTAGCACCTAATGACTTCTTATTTTTCCACGCGTAAACGTTAAATTACGAAGTTTATGTTTTACATCGGCCGAAGAAGCGGTTGATGCCTTCAAAAATAAAGTAAACAAACTATGGCCAGAACATAGTAGCAAATGTTTTCAAGAATGGTATTCTCGAATGCAAAAATGTATTGTTGAATACTTTGAAAAATTATAAATAAACATTTGTCCAAGTTAATCTCATGATTCGTAATTGCGATTACACTGAATAGGGTTTCCAAGGATATTCCGCATCTAGTTAAAAAATAATTAAGTCCTTTTCGAAAAACTAAAATAAGTAATAGTAAATTGACTCTTTTTTTATTTTTGAAATAGGTAGGTAGGCACTTACTCATTAGAAATATTGCTCATTATCCAGTTTGACCTCTTTTCGATTAGGAAGCATACGTAGTTTTATAAACAAAAAACATAAGTACCATAATTTTATGCAATTCTCGGTGCAAATACGTAATAACGGCACAATTAATTTTTTTTGGGTCCATAACACTTTAGTGTCACAAAAAATAAGCCATTTAGAAAAAAAATAGAACCATTTTGAATGTAGTAGAGACTAATTCTTTACAAAAAAGTGCGGATTTTTTCAAAATATAACCATTTTTTTCTAACCTCAATTTTTTTATTTTTTGGAACATGAGTGAATTGTTCGCCGAGTTCAGGTACGAATTTTGCAAAAATTTTTCAACACCCAAAAATAACTAGTTTCTATAGTAAATTTTCGCAAAAAAAATAGAAAAACAGCATTTTTCGAGAAAAATATAATGAAAAATTGAAGTGATCTAAAACCATATATTTTGTTGTTTGGAAAAATGTAGTATGTTTACCTATAGAGAAACAACTAAAAAAAAAATATTTTTCGTCATGAAACATTTTTTCCATATTTGCACAAGAAAACATCACTAACAAAAAAATTGAATATTTGTCATTATGGAAATATCAAAATAATTAAAAAAAAATACGTAACCGAACCCACGTAAAAAATTAATTGAATGTCGCCTGTAATGAAAACATAATTTTTAAAATAATTTGCTTCCCGGCCAACTGACACAGATCAAAGAATATACGTTCTTGCTTCTCAGCTTAATATCGCTACCAAACAAACCTAAGTTGCCTTATCTATTGATTGTTGCAGTAAACACAACATAAAATTTAGAAATATTTATTGATTTAAAATGCAATATGCTCATAAATAGTTTTTAATAAATAATCAAAAAAACACTTAAAACCTATGTAAAATATAAAAACACAAATAAAATTGCAATAAATAAAATCAAATTCTCGACAAACGCATAAGAGAGCATGCGCGAATCTAAATTACTACGCTTTTATCAAGTAATAGGTAGTTTTCAACATCCGCAATAAAAAATAGTTCCAACTTGGAAAGGCCATATTTTTGAATTTTGACTATAATCCGCAATTTTTTTTCCAAAAATCAAGAAATATCTATCTGTAGTTTTATTTAAAACATATGTCAAATCTGTAATTTTGTGACACTAAAGTGATATGTCACCTTTTTTTTTAAATAAACAATCAAAATGTAGACCTTTTATCATGGTATCAAATCAAAGCTCGGATACTATTCTTACGCACGAAAAAGTTCTCTATCCAATTATTTATTGTCAAATAGGTAGTACAGTAATAATTCATTTCTAATAATTTTGCTTGCCCTAATAATATTTTATAAACATTATCTTGTCCGTAAAATTATTAATACCTACATATTAATTGAATTTTTATTGAATTAATTCAATTGTGTCGTTATTATTCATTTACACAAAATATGGAACTTAATTTTTTTGTTTTGCGATACCTACTTATAAATACGTATGCTTAGTTTTTCAAATTGAAAAGATATCAAATTAATATTTACTATCGGTTAGAAAATTGGACATACGTTACCTATTCTTTTGAAAAAGTTTTTATTTAAACATTTTAAAATACATAATGAACCAATACAAAATCATTTTGGTACACTGTGTTATTTTTTCTTTTAAATTCTTTTAGTAATAAAAAGTAGAAGCTTATCTTTTAAAATATTGCGCGTTTCTACTTGAAAAATAGGGCAATTTTATTATTTTTTCCAATTATCTTCTTTATCTAATTTTATTAAATCAACTCTGTTTAAAAATCATAAGGAAGTAAAAGTTGCATAAGTACGTATTACCTATTATGTGAAAATTTGGGAAAAATTTTGTAAATGCGTAAAATGTAAAACTACTGGTGTAATGGTAGAAAAATTAAATAAACTTACAAATCCATATCCTCTACTTTTTCCAGTTTGTCTATCGGTAATCACCACAGCCTCTTCAATGTCTCCATAAACAGCGAAATGATCTCTAAGCGATTTATCACTAGTGTGATAGGGTAATCCCCCTACGAAAAGCTTAGTCCATGTCGTATCCTTATTTTGGACCCCAGAGCCGTTGAGAGCCCCCGCAGCCCCCAAGACCCCCAGAGTACCCAAACCCCCAACGAGACTGTCGGTCTCAGTGGAGGCCGTAATTCCAGCACTAGGCATCAGCATCTTGACTTGTTCTTCGGTATCGGAAAGTGCTACGCGCTGCTCTTCAGCAACACGAGCTGTGCCGTGGTTGTCTGGTCTAGAAGTCGGTCTTGTAGGTCGCGTCAAAGGGTTGAAAATATTATTTATGTACTCCTTGGTAAAGGTGCTCTTGCGATCTCGCATATGTAAGCCGGTGCGGACAGCCACATAAAGTCACAGTCAGAAAATACACGTGGTGCTCTCGGTGAGACGCGCAATCAAACTAAAACAGTAACTAACTAACAACCAACCACTCTACTAATTTTAGATTTGCTCTACACCTATACAGCTGTTTTGTTCGACGGATCGCTGATGCTAACGCTAACAAGCTAACTCTCCGAAACTAAAGCAAAAGCCGAAATAAAATAAAGCGCTATCTGCGAGGAACTAAGGGCTCGAGTCTATGCCACACATACGGAATACGCGTAGCGCACACCGTTCACCGTTGACGAATGAACTCAGCTCTCAACAACAAATAAATATCGTGTGTGTTTGGCTGTGTTGTATTTTCTGTTACCGCTCGTCTCTCGTCTGTTTCTGGCTCTTTAGCTTAGTATCAAATGCGCCCCCTGGATTGAGATTATGGGGATTTTTTACGGTCGCAAGGGGGCTGCACTCTCTATATATCTGTCCTTTTTATGTATCTCACTGTCTCTGAACGATTACAATAATAACAGCAGAGCCGTTATTGCCAAAATTTTCATGAGGGACAATAAATAATTTCGTCGTCTATTAAGGGGACATGCACTTTCAAATAAACTAGTGAAAACGAAAAATTTAGATAATTTTATTAATATTGATTAATTAATAAAAAATGTACACACTTTAAAATACCTCTCCTCGTTCTTTCTTTACCTATCAATGTGTACACACCTGCAACCTTTGATCGGATAATTTTTTATTGGAAAAACTTATTACAATTATTTTTTATTTATATACAGGGTGTCACAATGACAAGTATCCCATTCTAACAGTTTATGATTTAAAAATTGCTAACGATAAAACTTAAGGTTTTCACTGATATGGGGTAAATAGGTATATTGTGTCACTTTTAAAAATTGACCTTATTCAAATCAAAATATCTCAATTTTAATGAATGGTATATTATGATATATTTCTTATACCTATAACAGGTTCACTCTTCTATTTTTATAAAATGTAGTTTGTACTGGAAATGGCGTATGAACACAAAATAGAATTAGAAATGCTTTTTATTGACTTTAAACAAGCCTTTGACTCAATAACAAGCCTTTGACTCAATAACAAGAACAAAATGAAAGAAAGTGAAAGATAATAATCAGTTGTGATCCGAAAAACTGAATGCAGTTTTTAGAAATATGAAAATAAAAATCCCCAATTCACCCTACGAAATCCTGAAAATTACATCTTCATATCCAAAAATTGCATTCAGTTTTTCGAATCTCAACTGATTATTCTCACTTCCCTTTTTTTATTTTCACGTCTACGGCGTACCGTACTCGAAAACTTAACACTTAACTATCGTCCTTCCACACGATGTCATAGGGGTTGCTTTAAGAAGAATTGAAGGAGCTGAGATAAGATGAGAATTTTTGTGTACCTAAGAGAATCGGAATCTGATTGACTTCAAATATACAAATTCGGATATCTAAGCCATGCGCTTCGGTAGTTCAATTGGTAAGAGTATGTGCGGCCAAAGTCTGAGGTTCCGGATTCGACCCCCGACCGATGAACTATTTTTTCTTTCTTTTAATTCTCAGCTTTTTCAATTTTTCTTTGGTTTTTCACTTTGGGGATATAAGAGTGTAATTGTCATAATTTCATAGGAAAAATTGGGGAATTTTCACTACCATATTTCCAAAAATTACAAAAAGAACAAAACTGTAGCTGATTTTACAAAAATTAGGAATACCAATAGCGTTAAGGCGGTTAATAACAATGATGATGCAAGAAACAAAAATTAACAATAAAATTCAAAAAGAAGGAATGGAAGAATTTAAAATAATAAACCTTTCACTAGAATATGTGATGAGGAAAATTATTAAAGGGACATTGAAAACAGGGGGAGGACAAGTTATTGCATACGCAAAAACAAGAAAAATCATGGAAAACAACTTGAACAAAATTGTAAAACAAGGAAAAATTATGGGACTAGAGCTAAACCAAGAAAAACAAACATCATGAGATTAGACAATAAAGCAGCATCAAAAACTATTCAAATAGGAAAATATAAATTCGAAGAAGTCCAAAAATTTAAATAGTTGGGAATCACAGTAGCTAGACAGGAAACTTGAAATAACAGAAAAAATAGTCATAACAAGTAAAGCCTTCCACAAAAACAAAATATTACTTATAAGTAAATTACTCATCAAAAACACGAAAATGAAGATATACAATGAATGTAATAATCAGATTAGTATTATGTACGCAACAGACACAAGGAGTATGACAAAAAAAAGGAAGAAGATCTAAGAATCCATAACTCTTAGATCTTCCTCTTTTTTTTAATTCAGCTTATCAAGACCTTTTCAGGGATATACTATGCCATGTATTAGTGAGATTACAATAAAAGTTAGCCAAAAAATATAACATTATGTTCAATAAACTTACGAGGTACACAACTCCATGTGCACATAGCGTTTTTAACTCATGTTACATTCTCTAAAATTTCTGAAGTTATGACACTATGTCTTAGAAAATTTGGTATCAGAACATACAATCTAACAATTTAAACAATTTAAAAACAGGATGTTTTTAGTTAGATTAGTAAACAATACATAAATATTGTGACAATAATTGGGTGTCTTAGTGCATTTCTTATCAAAATAAGTAACAATATGTAAATATGAAGCACAAAGAGTGTCCAAAACACATTCAATCTGCTCTTCTAAAAAGTTGGCTAGAATGATATAGTGTAGTTTACCTTCGAGATATTGGTATGAAACTTTTTTTATCCTTTCAGTCATCGCTCTGCTCTCTCCCACCCCTCAGAGGGAATCCGGCAGACTTCCCCAATCAGGCTTGGGTCCAGTCACCGGCTCCCCTCAATCACGCTTGAGTCTAGCCACTGGCTCCCCTCAATAAGGCTTTGGGTCCAGTTTGCTTTCCCTCCAGATGGCCTATTGTACCACCATTTGGATGCCTTAATCCTTCCCATTTATCATACATTAATTCCACGTCCTCGATGATTAACCGCTAGTCGCTAGTCGTCATCCAAGACGTGACCGCAGACATCACGGCTTAACTGCGGCGAGAACTAAAATTCACAATAGACTCGCGGCTAGCCTTTCCGGCTTAATTCAGCACACACTTCACTTAAAGACCAATTTTCGTCCAATTTTGCTATAGCCAGTGATTTTCTCTCATAATAAATAGTTTCTATAGTTTTTTATGTTCAAATGTTAATTTAATTTTATGTTAATTTTATGTTAATTTAATTTTGCCTTTGATTTTCTATTATAATAAATAAACGCTTTTTGTAGTTTTATTTGTCTAGATGTTAATTTGATTTTACAAAAAATAATTTTGTAATTTCATATTTTTTTAATTTTTTAAAACTTATTTAGTATAGATAAAACCGATTTGACAAAACGACACGGCACTGTTTGTTTTGTTTTCACTATTCTCCCCTCTTTGTAACACCATTGGCCAAAGTCAGACTTACAGAAATTAATTTCATCAAAAATCCCGTGAAGACCAATGAGTGTTCACATGTACATATTCTGTCATACAAAACAAGTTTGAAGAACATAGTGCAAACTGATTAGAAACAAATGACATGTTTTTAAATAAATGTCAAATGAACTTCGACCAAGCCAATTATTTCCAAATTGACATTTATTTAACTAGTTTGCACGGTTTTTTAAAGTTTTCATTAACCAATTTATTTACAAAAAAAAACAAATGCTAAATTTACATTAACATAGAAAATTCAAGAAACCTACTAAATTGTAGCTTTCTCAAAATTAAATAATTTCTCTCCTTTTAAAACAGAAAATATGTACAAACTGTATATTTTTAAAAAGTAGAAGAATCCACCTTTCATATGACACCAAAATATTCAGGATATTCCATTAGATAAAATTGGGTTGTTTTAAAAGTATTAATAAAGCACAATTTTGGTGCTTCGGTGTAATTAATCCAAAGAATCAAAACTAATATTTGTGTTCGACACAGTAGCGAAGTCAACTGCTGTCAGACTTAACGATAATCTGTTACAAGTCCTAATTTCTCAAATAGAGTAATAGGTGTTTTAATGCGATTTTGGCGAAGAAATGGCCTGTCTGTGTCGATATTCGTCAAATATTTCAACAAGTTAGATCTCAGAAAACCTATCGATGCATATAAAATGATTGCAATGACTTTTGCAGAGATGGAAGCAGAAGAGAATGTAGATGTTATTAATTTTGTCACATACTCTGGAGCGTCAGAACATCTCATAGTTAAGACATTAGATAATGCAGTTAGAATAAGAATCACAAATGGCCAATCTCGAGTAGCAAAAAAGAAAGGAAAAATAGTGCTAAAATATGGGAACGAAAAGGTTACATTGGAAGCATTAATCGTTCAAGATATTACCTATAATTTGCTTTCAGTAAAAAAAGAAATGGATCTGTTAAAAGTTGAATTTTATAAAAATACAGTAAAGATCTCAGATAACAAAGGCTTAGTTATGATGTGTAACCTAAAAGGAAACTTGTACATAGCAGCTTTCGTAATATCAGCAGAAGAAAACTGTTTGATAACGATTGCAGACTTATGGCACAGAAGACTAGGCCACCTGAATAGAAAACGCTTACAAATTTTAAAATTACCAATTAGTCCAGATATCTGAATAATGAAAAATATTCAGCTGCTATTTACAAGAACTGGAGGGACACAGATTTGACAGGACACCATCTCCATCTGCACAACCAGAGAATGTGGCAAAAAGGACATGATATAGAATAATCAGGAACAGAATAATCAGACGAAAGTCTATTAGCTTCAGGACCGAAGACACATGGGATATGCCCCAAGACGAAATGAAAAACTTCAAAACCACGGAGCCGGGCTACAAGAAAGAATGGAGCCAAGAATTCATCGTTCTTGCAACCGAAACACATGCTATTTAGTGGTATACAGATGTTCCAAAACCATAAAAGGAATTGGAATAGAAGTGTATGGGCCTAGAACCAGGCACTCTGAAAGTTTGGGAAAATACCCAAGCATCTTTCAGGCGAAAATTCACGCCATCGAAAAGTGTATCCGGTTCAACATCGAGAGAAACCATAGTTGTATAGTATAGCCAAGCAGCCATCAAAGCGCTGAACTCTTACGTAATCAGCTCAAAAATGGTCTGGAGATGCATAGAAAAATTGAATTAGCTAGGCGAGAAAAATACAGTTACCCTCAGTTGGGTCCTGGAACATAACGGGGTACAGGGTAATGAGATTGCACATAGTCTCGCAACGAAAGGGGATCAAACACCCTTTGTGGGACCTGAGCTGTTCTGCGGTA